AAAATGGGCTAGAAATGGTCTGAAAGCAATTTATATGATGTGTAAAAATGATAAAAAAATTATTTTATAAAATTAATAGGCTTTCTACAAGTTATTATCTAAGTTTTAAACCATAGAAAATTAACCGATCAGTCGCTTTTTTCTCACACTGTTATTGATTTCTTACGACTTATGTTATTTCTTATTTAAGTTTAGGTAATGACTTATTGTAGGAAGCTTCTAAACACAAAAGGATTATTTGAGCTGAACTAAGTTCAAATGAAAATGAAAATAAAATTGTCATAAATAAGTTAAAAATATTATGAATGTGTTAAAAATATATTGATATAATGATTTTTTTTGTAAATATTATCTAGAAAATGTGCATAATAATTTTTAATAGAAAGGTGTGAAATGAATAAAACCGCGCGCGTTCACTTTTGGAAAATAACTAATTATTTCTAAATTTGATATTATTTATCGAAGCGATTGGCAATTTAGACGACCGTTTCTTCGGAATCTGTGATCTGAACAGATACTTATATCGTGTAATGCGAACCGAGATCTCGTTATAAAAGTCGACCGGTTGTTGCTCCGGAATTGAAGTCATTGAAATTCTGCGTGTCCTCCGATTCCGATATAAAGATTATATACTCATATCCGATCATTAATGTTCTTCCGCGTGGAAGAAAAGTGCGCATGGGATTTGAAAACTCCATCTATTTATTTACATGGAAAACGTTATTGCGTTTTTGAAATACATGACTAACTCTTGATGATATTGAAGTTTCCAGTCCTTTTGCCTCTCTTTAGCATTCGCTAATTAATTAGCAATTAGGAGAATTGAAATTCTACTGACAAATGCGAAAACACGCGATCCAATATTATTAATATTATCAAATAATTAAAATCGTGGAATTGTTATATTATTCATTTTATCGCGTCTATAATATTGTAGCATTTATTTACAAAATATTTTAGTAACACTATTTATCTATATACATACAAAGAGTAAATAATTTCATTTATTCTATTTTATAAAATAATTATAAAAATATTTAGATTAGATAAAATACAATTAATATAAGTACTTTATCTTTGCAAATTTAATTACGTATTAGATACATACATATATATATAATTCAGATGATATTTGATTATACATATATACGGATATATGTAGAACTTAATTGATTATTATTCTAAATAAAAGAAAAAAACAAGTGATTGCAGCAAGAATAAAACAAGGTTACGTAACGCTATACTATGTACATACTCGATTTTGTATGTTATAGCGCGATATAAGTATCAAAATGGCACGTGTACAACGTATATATGATAGTAACGATGATAGAATGATATAAAAGCGGCGAATGCTGCTGCGCGCCGTCGTAAAAATAGCACTGGCTAGTCTCATTATCGGTTTGAATTACATGCTCCGTTCATCATATAATCACAACGATGTATCGCAATGCAATACATCAGTAATCAGCATGCACACATTATTATAATAAAAAAAAATTTTAGTTAAATCATAGACATTTTCTTTTTCGAGAAATTTTAAATAAAAATTATGTACAAAGTGTTTTACGTAAAGTTTTACAAGATTTTCTATTTAAAATTATCAAAAACAACAAGACATGTGGTAGATTTTATTTGGATTTAATGAAAATTGGATCGTTTTAATGTGAGAAAACGGTAAGAACGGATGGCATGAGCAGCGGGACGCTTTGTAATAATCTTTGAAATGGTGCGCGGCGTTGCTGTTGAGATCTTTTGAGCAGCAGACAGGATATTATTTTGATCGTTAGAATAAAAAACGAAAAAAACAATTTTAAATTTTTTAATAGAATAATAATGTAAATGTTTGCAGTTTTTGATAGATTTCTTTAAATTTGATGATATTCATTTAAAATATTTTTTCCTATGTTGCATAATTAAAAAGATTTTGACTTGACTTTTATTTTTTACAAAATTTTGAAAAATTTGAGGCTTAAATTATAAAAAAGGCATTTTTTAGTAATAATTAATTTTTTAGTATAATACTTATCATCTGCTATAATGTGTATTATGATATGTATGTATGGAAAAGTTTTATCTTATTTCAAAATTTATTATTTATAATTTCAAATTTTCAAAAATATCAACTAACGTGATAGAGTATTTTACAATTTAAAAATTTCATATTGTAAATATTATAAGAAATAATTTCTTTCTTTGATTTTTTTTGTTAAATTATTTATTATACTATATATTAATTTTTATATAATTTTAATATAGCAATAATGTATTCTTTTTTTGTTTTAGGTGATGCGACGGTGAGAACGCAGTGTCGCGGTGTCACGTACTTTTTTTGAAAGTCAGTTAATTTTTTAATTAATCGTTTAATTATTTATATGATATATTCCTTTGGCATATTTTCGTAAGTGCTTAAAGCACGATAAAAGTGCCTCGAGTGACCAGTTTTAAAAATCTGTGTTTGCAAAACGTCAATACATTGTAATGTTTAATTTTCTTTGTGAATATCTCGATCTCTGGCCGATGGGAGATGTTTCGTAAGTGTAAGTTGCAGCAACGCGATAACTGC